ATGAAGATTAATCAGAGATAAGACTTTTAAGAAACAGTACTTTGGGGTTCTAGCTACTCAAAGATGAGAACTGCACACATGCTGTTCCCTGTCTAGGAAAGGGCTGGCAGGTGGTGAGAGGACGGGCACGGACGTAGGTGATCTGGAGGGAAGGGAATTAAACATCTACCAGGCACCTACTATGTGCCGAGAGCTATGTACAGGAGCATTTCACATCCATGTTACATGTAATCCTGGGGGATGATAATATCCCCATTCCAAATTCCCTAGCAGTTTGCTTAAAAGTTTAAATCAACGTGTAAAGAGCTAGTAAGGCCAGTCCTAGGGGGTTTGAGCTGGGACCTGGGGATTTATTCAAGTTGTGAATACAGAATACTCGAGTTCCCACAGCAGTCAGCCTTCTGGGGCACTGGTAATTTAACAGAAGTAGCAGTGAGATGAAGTACTCTCCAATTTTTAGCATCTCACCAGAGCACACGGCTGGGCAGGAGGAAGAACGCCCACTGACACTACTGAGCGACTTGTCAGTTCTGTCCTCGGCACACTGTCGTCTGAGATGGACAGTGTGAGCGGCCCTGCAACAGGAGTGTAAGCCTGCCTACTCCATTACTCATGCATGTTTAGTGCCATTGTGAAAACAGCAGTGGAAGTCCGTTTGAAGAGTTGTGTGGGTTTGAGAAAGTCAATTCACCTCCTTCGGCTTCAATTTTCATGTATAAAATTAGGATGTTAAAACACACGATGATTGGCTTCCTTTCGATTCTTGATATTATATGATTTAGTCATTGGCAAGTACATTGGGCTATTAACTGAAGAAAAACTAGCTTGATTTGATGTGGCTATAGGGTTATGGAAAACATGGTACAATAGAACTCAAGAAATTAAACCACAGTGCTCTCCAGCAGAACTTTCTGCAAGTGTGGAAATGCGCTTTGTGTGTATTTCCAACATGGTGGCCCCTAGCTACATGTGGCCATTGAGTACATACAGTGGAGCTAATGTAACTGAACAGAATTACTAATTTTCTTTTAATTCATTGAAATTTAAATGGCTAAATGTGCATAGTGGTTATCATATTAGACAGGGAGAATATTAACTTTATTTAAGCCAGACTCCCTGTATAAAGGTAAAAGAATGAGGGAATAGCTTGAGCACTGTTTCAATTGAAGAATAAAAGACCAGTTGCGTTTAACTTAGGCAATTTACAAATAGAGTACAACCATAGCTCCAGACCTTCTGACAAGAAGGCTGGCCTCTTCATTTGGGCACAAAGGCAATCATAACAATAGTACCTTACAGGTAGATATAACTTTATGCTCTCCAAGGATCTTTTATGCCTATAGTTTAATTCTCAAAACAACTCTGATATAGAATACAAGCAATATTTTCTCAGTTTCCAGAAAAGGAAATTGAGATGAGGATGTTCACCCAGACTTCCACCAGAAACCAAGCAGCACTTGGAACCCGTTACTTTACACTTCATTTTCCCAGTACAACCTCCGATCTCTCTCCTTGCCTGCCTTCAGGATGGCGATTGTAACAAATTAGAAAATACTCCGAAATATAAGCATGGAGAAGATGAAGAAAAGCCAGGAAGGCAACAACCCACCAACGGGATAACCAAACCTTGAAAGAATCCAGGGGCCGGTGCTGTGGCGCAGTGGGTTAAAGCCCTGGCCTGAAGCGCCGGCATCCCATATGGGCACCAGTTCTAATCCCGGCTGCTCCTCTTCTGATCCAGCTCTCTGCTATGTCCTGGGAAAGCAGTAGAAGATGGCCCAAGTCCTTGGGCCCCTGCACCCACGTGGGAGACCTGGAAGAAGCTCCTGGCTCCTGGTTTCAGATCAGTGCAGCTCCGGCCATTGTGGCCATTTGGGGAGTGAACCAGCGGATAGAAGACCTCTCTCTCTGTCTCTTTCTCTCTCTCTCTCTCTTTCAAATAAATAAACTAAATCTTAAAAAAAAAAAAAAAAAGAATCCAGAGTTGGTTGTGTCTCTCATGAGAAAAAAGGAGTGAAAAATGAAGTTCCCACTGTGTGCCAGATGTTGCACCGACTGCACCTGACAGAACAATCCTATGAGACAGCATTCTCGGGACGCTTTCATTCTTGAGAAAACGACTAGTTTGAGATCACACACATCTGACAATCACAAACCGGGATTTCATTCTACTGCTTCTGTCTATTTCCAAAGTCACACTCAAAGGAAGAGAAAGATTCCTCCCCACCCCCGCCTTCACTCCCTTTCTGAGAGTGCTGAAAAGTAGCTAAGCCTGCAGGCCTTAGAGTCGCTCAGACTGAACTTGAACCTCAGCTCTGACACTATTTAAAGGATTTAACATTTCTGAGACTCAGTTTCCTCAACTGCAAAAGTGAGGACTCATTTTACTGACGTGACGGAGTGGGGGCAATTTAAATAAGATACCTTGTAAGAACGCTCAGTCCAGCACGGAGCCCAAGTACAGAGAGTGGTAGTTTGGAGTATTAGACGCATGAAGACGTCGCAGGCTCTGCAGACGATTCTAAAAGGGGAACTCCAAAACCTACTTGAGACGAGGTAGCATTCTTGTTGAAGCCCACCAAGTAGACAGTCCCTGAGGACACAGGACACGGACTTGGACACTGCGGTTAAGCTGGTTGGATGCTGCCAGTTTTAAAACAGCCATTGACAGGGCCAGGGACTGGATCTGAAGCAGTGAAATGATGCCTTCGCTCAGGAAAGCCCAGGAAACATGGAACTTTCTCCTGACTTCATCTCCGGTAAGACAGATGCCAAACCCAGCATGCACTTGACTTCCAATCCCATACACCCAAGTCCTGTCGGCTGCCTACCCGAATGCTATAGCTCCATGAACAAGGCTCCCTAGAGAGCACACTCAGCTATTCATTCAACATATATTTATTCAATACCTGGTCAGTGCTAAGTCCAGTTTTAATACTCAAGAAACAGCCGTGTACAAGACATACTCTTAGAGCTTACTTTGGGTGGAAAAGAACAGACACACATCAAATAGACAAGATCATTTCAGGTTATAAGAAGTGCTGTGAAGAATACAAAGCAGGATGACGTGGCAAAGAGCAGCTGTGGGGAAAGGCTACCACAATGGAAGGATTAGCAAAGAACCCTCTGAAGAGGTAACATTTAAGCTGAGACCAGCCAGGTCAAGATCTAAGGGCACAATGTTCTGGGAACAGGGTACAGCCAATGCAAAGGCCCTGAGGCAGAGATGTACTAGGTGCAATTGAGAAAGTGAAAAAGTCAGGTAGCTAGCGCTGAACCAGAGGAGAGGGTTAAGAGATGAGGTCAGGGAAACGCATGGGCCAGGTCGTGCAGGGCTTACGCTAGGCCATGGTAAGTAAGGAGTTTGGGTTTTATGCTAAATGTGGTGGAAGGCCATTTGGGTAGTATTAAGCAGGGGAGCAATGAGATCTGATTTGCCTTTTAAAAAGATTATTCCTAATCCTGCCACCCCCTGTCCAAACTCATAAGTGTAATGCATGCACCCAGTCTCTCTTCAGAGCCATCAGCCTTTTGCCTGTTGCCTAGTTCTGTGTGAGTCTGTCTCTCTCTGCCCCCGTTCAATCTGCTGCCCAAATCCCACCGAGTCTGCCTCCACAGTGTTCATGAAGTTCAACCCCTCCTTCGTACTTCCGTTGCCCCCCTCACTTCTTACCGGAATTACTTCCGGGGCTCTCGGAAAGCTTTTCTCCGCTCTTGTCTGCCCCTTCCGCACCCCACCCCACATACCATGGCCAAAAGTAAAGCTCTGCTTATGTCTCTTTTCTGCTCAAGAACTTGTAATGGCTCCCCGGCATCCAAGAAACTCAAGGGCAATTCTCGAACCCAGTGTTTCTGCTCCTCCGCCATCTTGCTGAGCTGGTCTCTTCTCTGTGCCTGACTACGTTCTTTCCAAACTGGTCTACTTGGTGTCTCGGAACGCGGTTTGATTTGTATGCTATTTCCTGGGTCTGGGTCAGTGCTTCCCCCAGTTACATCTGCTGAGATCCTACACTACTCAGTATCTGCAGTGGAATGCTACCACCTCCACGACACTGCCTCTGCTCTTTGTGACTCCAACTGAGTCTCCCCCCATCTGGTCTGAATCTGCTTAGAGCATTTACTACATTTTTCTTCGTATTACTGTGATCTGTGTACATGTCTTACTACCCTTCCAAATTATTAGGTCTTTAAGGACAGGAACAGAATCTGAATCTTTTTCTTTTAATACCTGTTAGTACCCAGCAGAGAGCATAGCATGCAGAAGGTGCTTGACAAATATTTATTGAATGAATGAACGAACAAATCAACAAAAAGATCCTAAAACTCATCTTTGGGCTGCATCACTCAATGAAATAATTTTAGGAAATTATGAGTAGTCAGAAGAGGAAATAAGAAAGGTCTAGCCCTTTAATCTTGACAATGGCATTTAAGGCTCCCGGGAAATACAAATAAGCATGGAAATAGGTTTCTATTGTTTTACATGGAACCGATGTCAGGAAAAGTCACCTGGGAATTGCTGGAAATTATGCACTGTGTGAGCAGTGCCTGAGGACGTAGATTCCACGACTGTGGCTCTCCACTCTCCACGGTCCCTCAGTCCCCACGGTGGCTTTATGGGAAATAATATAAAACCATTTCCCTTCGCAATTAATTTTGAGTTGAGCAGTTCCTCTTCAGAAACAAAGATAAAAGTTTCAGCTAATTCCCCAATTCTTCACTGTACTATATTAGCATTCCAGAAAGACTAAATTAGTGTGTTGGGGTTTACCTCAATCAATTGCATTGGTGAGTTCATTTATCTTAAGCGATGTTGCTTTGAAAGAAAGGTATTGAATGAACTTTCTCATGGAGCAAAGGCTTCTATTTAGGTGGAAGATGGGGAGAGCGCTTGCTTGGGAAGCAATAGGGCACTCCTCACTGGCTACCTCTGGCGTCATGCACTGACCTTGGCTCCTCCATATTGCTAGTACACTGTTGCAAGCCATTTGTTATCTTTTTAGTCTGAGAACAATGAAGCTCCCATGAAGTAAGAGTATCTTCTTTTATTCCTTTCTCATTGCTAAAAAGTCTCCTCCTGGGAGACTGAGGAATCCACCAAACAATGAGTCCTTCCATGAAAGGGAGACACAGCCGGAAGGAAGTTGCTACTTCCCGAGCTGATCACTCATCTCGCCTTGGACTAATCCCCATGAATCCTGCCCAAGCCAATGCACCTTCTCGCCTACCGGTAAGCTGCACACCAGTGGTGGTTTGGGTAGTGCCGGTAGCTCCCTGCGTCACTTATGCTCTGGCTTTTTCCCTACTAACTTTACAACAGTCACTTATTCTGAAATATGAAGTCCTCCTATCATGTTCTAGAAAAAGGGCGTGAAAGCCAGGCTTTCAAACCGGTTTCTAAGTGTGCTTTTGTTGTGTGCATGTGACTTTATGACCAAGGGTTTAGGCAAGCAGCTTTCTACCCGCTTCTTAACATCTCTGTTTTCTCTGGGTCTTAGTTTCTGCCCCTTGGGAGCTATGACTGCTCCCTTGCACAAACAGTTCAGGAAAGACCCTTCTTTTCAAACACTATTTTTGTATCTGTTTCTAAGAGATGTCAATAAGAAGGCAGGGGTGAGAGCCTGTCCTTAGAAGGGAAAGAAGTATCCACTCTCTTGCCTGTGGTCTTCTCAGGGAGGTAGGAATGAAGTCCGATTTCTACTATGATATCTGCCTTCTAGGGGTCAGAAGCACTTTCTGGTAGGTCAGGGAAATGAGGCAAAAATACCGTCTCTGGATTTCAGCAGGGGAATTCACAACAGCTAAAGAGCCACAGTAGTACTGAAGGGATGTGAAAACATGGGTGCACACTCTGGTTCAGTGTTTAACAAATGGGGTTATCTTGGGCAAACCACTTCACCACTATAAGGTTCAGTTTGTCTAATAGTAAAACACAAACGAAAATACAGGGCAGACTCTGCTTGCTACGCTCACACCCCCGCATTGGAGTGCCTGGGTTTGAGTTTCCCACCCCGCTTTCAATCCGGCTTCCTGCTAATGCGCAGTCTGCGAAGCCACAGGTGACACCTCAAAGTACTTACATCCCTGACACTCACAAGGAAGACCTGGACGGAGTTCAGGCTCCTGGCTTTGTGCTGGCCCAGCCCCAGCTATTGTAGGCATTTGGGGAGTGAACCAGTGAATGGAAGATCTGTCTTTACCTTGCAAATAAATAAAAATAAATTTACATTTTAAAAAATACATGATATGTGAAACATGGTTCATGAAGGTTTAACACAGGTTAAATGGGATGAGATATCAAAGCATAACTACTCTTATAGAAAAGAGAGGAATATGCAGGGTGGGTGGATGACAGAATCTGGGGGATTGGTAACTGAATAACTAAAAAAGTTACATTTATTTATGTATTTATTTGAAAATGGGGGGATATGAGAAAGAGGAAGAGAGAGGAGAGGGAGAGAGAGAGAGAGAGATCTTCCACCTGCTGGTTCACTCCCCAGATGCTGGTAACAGCCATGGCTGGGCCAGGCCAAAACCTCATCTCCTGGCTCCCAGGATGCACAGGAGCAGGGAGCTGGATTGGAAGCAGAGGCAGGATTCCATCTCGGGTGTCTCAGTAAGGCATAAGCTGCCTATCCCAAGAGGCCACTCAACCCACAGTGCCACAAGCCCCGTCCCTAAAGGATTTCTTACAACCTGACAGGATTGTCCTGTTCAATTTGAATAGCAATGATTTGGATAAACCTATAGAAAACATTTTTTAAAATCTCATTTGAAGATGTTACAAAAGGGGGAAAGATGACAATCAAGGCCAAACAAACAAATAAAAAATAGGCAAAAAGAAACCACGGCTGAAAACCAAAAGTCCTCAAAGTATCAATTCTGACAAAATGAATTTCAAAAGTTGTGAAAGCAGAGACAACTTAAGTCCAACACACAAATGACAAAAGTCCAGGTTGCTGACAGAGCGGCACGTATTTAAGAAAAAGGAGAGAAGAAAGTGAAGAAGCAGGAATGGGAGAGGAGGAGTTTATACTTTGGGATGAAGTGCTGGAAGGATCAAATGCACTCTCAGACTGCACGGAAGAAGTGGTCACTCTCTACTCCACGTGGAGCCCAGTGGCCAGTCCTGAATTCCTATCTTCAGGAGGAATTCAGACAAACTGAAGTGATTGCAGCAGAGTGGCCAGGGCGAAAGATTTCTATACCATGTCCTCATAGACTGCACAATGCCCACCAGGAGGAAGGTAGTGGGAGGGACACCCTCACGCCTGTTTCCAAATATGAGAAGGGCCAGGTCCTGCTACGATGGGGAGGCTGGCCCTGTACGTCCCCACAGGAGGAAAGTGATGCTCATGAAAGGTGTGACAAGCTGCCTAATGGCCCTGTCCCCACTGCTGTCTCCAGAGAGTCCGTGCAGCTCCTTCGGGACCACCAGCATGGAGAGCTGAGGCAGGTGGAAGATGGGACCGGAGGGATTCCAAGCCCTTCTACCTCTAGAAATCCATGACTGTCCTTGACCCAATGTCACTCACAGCCTTCCTCTGAGGCATGCTCTTTGGGAGATCATCCCCAGGTAAATACTCTTTGTGGAATACAGGTTTTTATTTTATAGACTATCTGAGCTCTAGGAATGTGCTCATCCCAATCGGCAGCTTTGTTCCATGGAAAAAACTGGATTTGGAGATTAATTTGGGTCAAACCCTGGCTCTGACATTTACCTGCTATTAGACTTCAGGCAAATGACTTTACTTCTCTGAGCCTCTATGTCTTTATCTACTTGGCCACTGCCTGCGACGCCTGCATCCCATATAGGTGCCGATTCCAGTACCAGCTGCTCCCCGCTAATGTGCCTGTGAAAGCAGCAGAGGATGGCCCAAGTCCTTGGGCCCCTGCACCCACGTGGAAGACCAGGAAGAAGCTCCTGGCTCCTGGTGTCAGATCAGTCCAGCTCCAGCCGTTGTAGCCATTTGGGGAGTGAACTAGTGGATGGAAGACCTCTCTCTCTCTCCCTCTCTCTCTCTAACTCTTTCAAATAAATAAATCTTAAAAAAAAAAAAAAAAGCAATGGCAACTGATGTGCAAAGAAATATGCTATCCTATATTAAACACTTAGCACAGTGACTGGCACCCAGTGAGTATGCAATACAATGTTAATTCCATTCTTCCCTTTCTAGAGGAATGCTGCATAATCTCCAGGGGAACAGAGAGGTCCTCGAGAATTGATAATTGGAACTAGCTCACAGACTCCCAGGATGGAAAATCAATGAGAAAATTCACACGCACCAGACCCCAAGAAGGATTATTTTACACACACACACACACACACACAAACACACCAAGGGTATTATTCTTTCTCATCCATTTCCTGTGGCCATGCAAACATTCTGCACCTTTCCAAATCTGTTGCTCAGTATGTTGTAGTTCTGTCGCTCCCCCTCTTCATGGAGGAGCGACACAGGACCCTGCCTAGGCTTCATATCCGCGTCACGGCACCATTATGTCGCTCCCCCTCTTCGTGGAGGAACGACACTAAACCCTGCGCTGTTCTTTCGTCTGCTCGGCCCTCCCCAGGTTTGCTGCTGGTTCTTCCCGGGTTGGCTACCGTCCTTCCACCTCCGTGGAAGGGCGGTTCCCCCTGCCACTTTCCCCACTTCCGCGGGGGAGCGGCACACTGCTGGCCGGCTCTCTCGGGGGCTGCACAGGTGTTCCTTCAGATAGATGTTCCCTGGTGCATGTTGTCTCTCTCCTCCTTTATAGTCCTCTTCCACCAATCCCAACTCTGCTACCCACACGCCGAGTATGCTGCTCTCCTCCAATCAGGAGCAGGTCCTACAGTTTATTGGTTGAACTGGAGGCAGCTGTGTAGAAGCTGTTTCCTCCTCTCCCAGCGCCATATTGTGGGAGAGCAGATGCATAGAATAACTCTTAATTCCAGTAACAGTCTAGTCCGAGTTGCTCCCAGTTGCTCCCCACAAGTTCAAACCAAAATTCATTTATTGAGCACAGGCTGAATGTGTTAGGAGAGAGGGTACGCCTGCCATCACCAGCCCTCTATCTCCATCTCCCAAACCAATCACCTACCACAGAATGTCTTTATCAAGGGTGATACCCTTCAGATCTGACTTCTTTCCCCTACTGGTGTTCAGTTCAAGATGCTTTACTTTGTCACCGGAAGCATATAACAGAGTCGATGCCACAAGGGTGTATCAGTAAGGAGATTTCTTCTTGACCCAGCTGGCCCCAAACATAATCACCAGGGAGGCTTTTTGTAGGCAGATACTGTGATTGTAAGTGCAGATGTAAGCTCATGTTAGAGCGTATCCAATCCTTTATAAAATGCTAGCAAGCACGTTGTCTCACTGTTATTTTGTGTTAGTGAGTTACCCAGGTTAATTACATGTTACACAAAATCCACTTCTTTATAGCTGCCTTACATTTTTTTTAGCTGTTTAATGGTTTATCTCATCTTATCTTACAACAATATTAGAAATGCATTTGCTAGCTCTGTCCCTGTTTCCCTAGTCCAACTTCCAGACAGTGAGTTGCAGGTTGGTATCCCACCAGAGGGTGGCTCTGTCTGTTGGTATGGTCAGCTAACTAGTTAGTCCATGTTCCTTGAGGGCCCACTGTCTGCCCATCACTGTGCCTGTGATGATACCAACGAGAAGGACAAAAGCTAGACCTTCCAAGCATTCGTCTTCCAGGGCAGAAACATGGAACAGAAGCCCTTCTGGGCAGGGCGTTTCTTGAGTGATAACACTTGGACTGATTAGTCTGTGGTCTTCCGTCCCTCTTTAAATGGGCTAGGCTGGCCGGCGCCGTGGCTCAGTAGGCTAATCCTCCGCCTAGCGGCGCCGGCACACCGGGTTCTAGTCCCGGTTGGGGCGCCGGATTCTGTCCCGGTTGCCCCTCTTCCAGGCCAGCTCTCTGCTGTGGCCAGGGAGTGCAGTGGAGGATGGCCCAGGTGCTTGGGCCCTGCACCCCATGGGAGACCGGGAGAAGCACCTGGCTCCTGCCTTCGGATCAGCGCGGTGCGCCGGCCGCAGCGTGCAGGCCGCGGCGGCCATTGGAGGGTGAACCAACGGCAAAGGAAGACCTTTCTCTCTGTCTCTCTCTCTCACTGTCCACTCTGCCTGTCAAAAAAAAAAAATTAAAAAAAAAAAATGGGCTAGGCTCACAACATGCTGAGCCAACACTTCTGGTGGTAAACCTACCCCAAGACCCCTGCCCACCAAGGGAGTTGCTTGGTTCATCATGTGTTCATGTGTTTGTTCCCAAACCTATTCAAACTCATTCTTCTTCTTCTTGGAATGACACGATTTCATCAAACTTACTTAAAGTAATGAAGTGTAAGTGCAAAAGAGATAAATTGCTTCTAGGAGATCTCAGTTAAATGTTTGGGAAAAGCCTTAAAACTAAGTTACCAAAAATGTGCTGTCAACTTCGGCATGGGGGAGCCAACCCTAAAACCTCATTAAATCCGGAAAAATCTGACTGCCTAACAAATGTCTTTTAGAACTTGCTCCACTTTAAAGCAACCAAGATTAAGCAACAGTTGAGAAAGCCTCGGAGGTGTGGCTTGTGTCAGAAAGAGGACCAGAGTTCTAAGGGGAGGCCCTCTGCTCCAGGGATGGGGCCTTGGCCCTCCATCAAAAACTTGAGGGATGTTTTAAGTTAAAATAAAGGCTTAAGAGGCCGGCGCCATGGCTCAATAGGCTAATCCTCCGCCTGCAGTGCCGGCACACGGGGTTCTAGTCCCAGTTGGGGCGCCGGATTCTGTCCCAGTTGCTCCTCTTCCAGTCCAGCTCTCTACTGTGGCCTGGGAGTGCAGTGGAGGACGGCCCAAGTGCCTGGGCCCTGCACCCACATGGGAAACTAGGAGAAGCACCTGGCTCCTGGCTTTGGATCAGCGCGGTGCGCCAGCCACAGCGCACCAGCCGAAGCAGCCATTGAGGGGTGAACCAATGGAAAAGGAAGACTCTTTCTCTCTGTCTCTCTCATTGTCCACTCTGCCTGTCAAAAAAATAAATAAATAAATAAAAAATAAAGGCTTAAGGACTGATTCCATCATGTTGCATGATTCCTCCTTTAATTTCCTTGTTCCACTAAATCACTATCAATGGAATGGGCTATAAGGGCTTCTACTATCGTTAGCATAATAATATAGTAAGAGCTACAGTAGAAGGTGCTAAGGCAGATGAGACAAGCTCCTACAAGGAAAGAGAGGGCTTAGGACAGCCTCCATGGGGGAGTACAAGTGGATGTTGAAGGACAGAGCAGGAGTTCCTAGAGTAATAGAGAAAGGTCAATCATTTTTCCAGGGAAAACAACAGTAGAGTTGCAACCCAGTCTTCTTGACTGTCAATCAACTCATCTGGAAGATGAGAATAATAGCAGTACCCACCTCATTGGGCTACCTTCAGGTGACATGAGATATCGCTAAATAATCATGCATTAATAAAAATGTATGCAAAGTTAGTTGAAGGCTGGGAGCAAGGGAGTCTCAATGCTGCAAATGATTCTGAACATGAGAAATGCTTCTTGCCTCTTTTAGAATCCACTACAAAGAATCCAAGAAGTACCAAATTCAAAAGGACAGGATGTGGGGTGTAAGCCCCTAGACCCTGGGAGCTATGTCAGCTCCCGAGGCTGGCATGCTGAGTGGGAAAGCAGGCCCTCTTACCTACCAGCATTCAACATCGCACATCAATCTGCATACCATCATCTCCACTGAACAGATACGGGAACTGGGTCACACAGAAGTGAAGCACGTCACTGAAGTTTGCAGAGATGACAAACAGGGATCAGAGACCAGAATTCAGGTCACCTGACTCCAAATTCTGTGTGCTTTCCTGTTTTCCTGGCTGCCTGTCACATGGGCTCTTCAGTTAAGCAAGCCCTCGGCTGTGGCGTCTTGTATTTATTCATTTGTTAAAACTTTTGGTAGGACAGGAGGATGCTGCAACTAATAGCTAAAATGAGGGTTGGGGATTATCAGGGATTTCAATTATCCTGCCTATCTCTGACCTCCATTACCAAGGATAATCAGAAGCCAGCTCGAGCAATTTTCTGAAACTTTCATTAATTTTAAATAAATTTATACAATGTCATTTTTCCCCTTTACCCAAATTAAAATGTCCTTGTCTTTTCAGTTTCTCATTACAGGCAAATCCCTTGTATGTCTTTTAGCCTCTGTTGTTTTTCTCTGGATCCTTTGAATTTCTGCTTTGTTTTCTTTGAAATGAAAGGATCCAATGCCAAATTCTGAATTTAAGGTGAAGTCATAACATCAATGTATATCATTAAAATGTTTTATTGTAATTACAGAAATAATCAATGCCAAATTGTGCACACTATATTATTTTCCGCATTATTCTTTATCCCATTCTCAAAGTTAATGCAGCCTATTATATCTCATTCATTCTTCTGACTGCTGCTGCACAGTGAGCAGATGTCTCCATTGAGCAATCCACAATGAATCCTGGATCTTTCTCCTGAGCACTTACAAGTAGAGTAATTCAGAGCCCATCAGTGAGTATGAGCTGTTTCAATTGTTCCTTCCAGTGTACATTGGCTCGCACTTGTCTACGTAACGTAGCAAACGATCACAGATATTAAAGATGGAAAAGACCAGTTCATCTATCAAGCCTGCCCATTCTGCCACCACAAGCAAGAAAATGAAGTGATTCCATCACTCCACACTTTCTAAATGATGCTTATTAATAATAATCGCAATTACTGTTTATAGTACATGGTCTCTTTCATCCTAAAATTAGTTAATTTTTTAAAAAAAAAACATTATTTCTTTTCCAAAAAGGAACTGAGGCAGACACCAAAGCTGTCACGTCCCAAGCCGATCCAATGTAGTAAAGAATTCAATTCAGCTGAATCAACAAACATCTGAGAGCCCCAACCCCTTGCAAGGCAGGGGCCCTTCTGGGTACTCCGGAAAATGCATAGGTGAATAGAGCCTAAATCCTTTCCCTC